AAAAAATCTGCAGTGTCCCAATTTAGCGCACAGGCAGCGGCGGCGAGCGCGACTCCAAAAATATAACAATTAAAAAATGTTAACAAATAACAAAAAGCGTCAATAACAACAACTGCTGCACGGCAACAACGCGAAGCAAACAAACAAATGAGCCCAACACCAAACAGCAAAGGCATACAAAAATAACAGCAGCAACAACAGTTGAAGTGGTAAAAATTGGAGCCAAAAAGTAACCGAATAACTGCAACTGTCAGCCATAAATAAAATTCGCATGTCCTCGAAACCAAATGGTCAAATTTAGAGTGTGTGTGTGTGTTTGTTGTTGTTATCGTTTGTTTTTTTTTTTTTTGTTTGGTGCTGCAAGAAAAATAGTAATGTGCGCTTAGTAGTGCGCCGGAGTGGGTGGTGGCGGTGATGGCGGGTGTTTGGCAAATGCGCGCATAACTTTCGCACAAATCAGCGATTCAACGGTGCCATAACAACGGTAAAAAAGCATGCATGCATGTATCTATGTACATATACATATATGTACATCTGAACATAATGCGACGAAAATAAATTACTTAGACGAAAAGGTGCCAGCGAACGACCAACTATTGAACGAGTAATGAGCGCGCCATGTTCGGACGGTGACAGTGACATACGAGTGTGACACAATGGCAATTTATAAGACAAAAATGAGAATAGTTAATTAAAAAAAAAATAATAATAAAGAAATAAATTCGTAGGAAAATAATGAATAGGGAAAACATAAATTGAGTGGGAACGAAACGGAGTGAAGTGAAATGAAGCGAAACGAAATGAAACGAAACTAAACGATATGAAATGAAAGAAATTAGAACGAAGGGAGGTAAAATCAAATGAAACAAAACGAAGAGAGGCCAAATGATTTGAGTTGGAAGGAATGAAATGAAATAAGGTTAAGTGAAGTGGAGTGCAGTGTAGTGAAGTGCAGTGAAGTGCAGTGCAGTGAAGTGAAATGAAATGAAATGAGTGAAACTAATTGAATTTAGGTTACGTAAAATTAAACTAAATGAAATGATAGGAATTGAAGTGAGATAAAATGAAATTAAATTAAATTGATTCAAATAAAATTAATAATAATAAATGGGGAAAACATTGAAATAAAGTAAAATAAATAAAATAAAGAGAAAAAAATTGGACTAACTTGACCCGAATCGGATTCAATTGATTTGAGTTGAATTGAATTAGATTAAATTTAACTTAATTGGATTAAATTAACTACAGTTAAGTTAAATTGGATAGGCTTAAATAAAATTTAACCAAATTAAATAAAATGAACCACGATAAGTAAATTTAATTTAAATTATTTGTAAATATTTTGCTTGGGAAAATTTATTTAAAATAAAAACATAATATAATGAAATAAATGAAAACTACACAACAAAATAAAATATCTGCATAAACTATTTGCTGCCGGTTTCACCAGCAATTTAAAGGGTTACACCAAACTTAATGTCAAACAAGTAAGAAAGTCTAAGTTCGGGCGGAGCCGAACATTAAATACCCGGCGCAAGTATTAAATATGTTTTTTCACCTTTCCGAAACCTTCCGCTAGATGGTAAGCCGGGGTGTATCAATTTTGAGTAAATTAGCGTCCTTCAATTTCGAAATATTGAAGTTTCAAGCATTTCTGAAATTTACCGTTATATGAGAAGCGGCCGTTATTTTAGTCCGATTTCAATAATTTTCAACGTTTTGCTTATATGTGGCAAGCACAATAACCACACCGAGTTTGGTACAAATTGGTAGAACGGTTACCGATATACATATATGTGATCATAAGTGGGCGGTGCCATGCCCATTTTCCAAACTTTTACCATAAACGTATTTCTTGGTAAAGAATTGTTGCAAGTATCAATTTTGAATAAATTAGCTTCAATATTTACTGATTTATCGAAGATTTTGTATTTCTCTAAATTACCGTTATATGGGATGTGGGCGTGGTTATTGTCCGATTTTAAAAAGTTTCGGCGATTTTTTATGCTGTACCAGGGCCAACAACTGTGCCAAGTTTGGAAGAAATTGGTGCAGCGGTTACCAAGATATACACATGTAATCATAAGTGGGCGTGGCTACGCCCATTTTCCAAAAATTTATAATATTCTTATTTTTCGTCGAAAAATTATTGTAAATATCAATTTTGAGCGAATAATCTCCAGTAGTTACTAAAATATCGCAGTTTTCGTATTTCTGAAAATTACCGTTATATGGGAAGTAGGCGTGGTTATTGAGCGATTTTAAAAATTTTCGGCCGTTTAGTATGTTGTGCGAAGGCCAACAACTGTGCCAAGTTTGGAAGAAATTGGTGCAGCGGTTACCAAGATATACACATATAACCATAAGTGGGCGTGGCTACGCCCATTTTCCAAAAATTTATAATATTCTTATTTTTCGTCTAAAACTTATTATAAATATCAATTTTGAGTGAATTATCTTTAGTAGTTACTAAAATATCGCTGTTTTCGTATTTCTGGAAATTACCGTTATATGGGAAGTGGGCGTGGTTAAAGTCCGATTTCGCCCATTTTCAATACCAACCTACCTTGGATTAAGGGAAACCTACATACCAAATTTCGTTAATATATCTCAATTTTTGCTCGAGTTATCGTGTACACGGACAGACGGACAGACGGACAGACGGACGGACAGACAGACATGGCTTAATCGATTTCTTTTTTCATCCTGATCATTTATGTATACATTTGTCTATATCTATCTCGATTCGTTTTGGCTGTTACAAACAACCGTTATGTGAACAAAATTAATATACCCTTGTGCACAAGTGCGCTCGGGTATAAAAAGAGGTTTAGAAATAATTTTGTTATATATTATAAAATTTATTCACATATCGAGTCCTAAAAAGATGTAAGCGAAATTTTTTGCCAAATTTTAATTTTGATGCAGAAATTCTCTAGGAACGTTTCTGCAGCGAAAAAAAATTGAAAAAATGCCGCTTACATCTTTTTGGCGGTTGGGGCTCGATTGAGGCATCCATTAGCCCCCTCATTTCAAGATAGTGTATAAGCTTTCTCAATCGTCTGAAAATTGCGAAAAATTTAGTAGCTATGACGCTGGGTAGAGAAAAATTTGTGTTTTTTTGTCTGTAAAAAGTGGTAGCAAGAAACGACATGAATTTTCATGAAAACATTTGGTTAATTATATTCATAACTGAAGAACCGATCATCAGACCAAAAAATCCCTAAGCATTGCTCTAAAAAATATTATATGTACAGCTCATCGGATCTTTAGATATCCAGTTTGAAAAAGTTGTTCCGAGGAAAACCGAAAAGATAAAATTTCAGGCCTTTCAGCGCCTTTCTCTCTTCTAATGAGAATCGCATGCTTTGCTCATATTTTCAGATAATTTGTAACAAAATGTAACGGAATGTAAACCAGCGAAATTGTATCATTATTTGTAGTGTGCCGAGAGTGGTCAAAAAAAAAATGAACAATTTTATTTTTTTCTAAAATATAGTTACATTTACTTTAGTGTGCCATTTTATAAGTCTGTCGTAATTTAAACGTTTAATTTTTTTACTAAAAATACTAAGCTAACCCGACAAAGCAAATGTTTCGATAATTCGAATAGGCTCTGCAATCATTGGTTCGGATTATCGAGTTTTGATTGTACTTTAAATTTCGTAATGGGAAATTGCTTAAAATATTCTTCAAAATATGTAACATTTTTAAGCGAAAATAATTTTTATTTTTTATTTTTTTAAGGTCAGTTTTAATATTGAATTCACATAAAGAACCACTGCTTTCGTGTAACAGCCTATTAGACACATGCAAAAATTCGTTTGGCATATACTCATACTAATTTTCCATTACTTTTTTTGCATTTTTCATATTTTCAACCAACCAACCATCTAACCATTGCCACCAGCAAGTTATCAGCGCAATTAACAAGATTTCACTGGAAAGTATGCCAAGTCCAATATTTAAAGCGCGCATCGACAAATTCGCAACTCAAAACTCGTTCTAACTCGTTTCTCACTAATTATCGACACTTTTTTTTCCACGCTGCTGTACGGCATTTTTTCTCTGCTGCTCTTTTGCAACTTAAGATTTTTGCATTTCGAGTTTTTTGTTTGCTGATCGTGCGGCGCGCTTGTAGCGCTTGTCTTCCCTCTTCGAAGTATTTGCGATGCTCAAAATCAGGCCAAAGTCAAAGTCAAGCGACAAGCCAGAATAAGAAATTTGCAGAAGAAAAAAAAACAAAAATAGAATCATGGAAAAAAGCAGGTAAACTGGCAGGCAGAAAGGTAGCTGGGATGCGGTATAATTTCTTATTGCTTGTGGTAACAAACACCGCGCTGAGGCGGGCAACCACGGCTAAGGTGAGTAGGCGGCTGCGCTTAAGATATTAATTCCTGTTAAGTCGCAGTATTGCTTTGGTTAGAATAGAGGAATGTAGCGCACCCAAAATGCGGCGACAGTTTGTAGTTTTTCTAACTTTTTTGTAGCTAAAACATTTTTGAAGGGAATTTGAAGTGACACACAACCTCAACATAACAGCCGCGCCAATTATCAGCAGCCGAAATAATTTAAAATAAGATGAAAGCAGTTGCATTTTTCCCGCCAAAGCAAACTTCGAGCCAACATTTCTGGTCACATAAATTTATCAAATTTGGGAATTTCGCCGAAAACTCTTCGACTCTCTAACAGTTAGAAGTTAGAGTCTAACTCAACAGCGTCGAAGGCATGCGTTACTTTGCTTGCTACTTGTTGCTGATTTTATCGTTAGTTCTGAGTTTTGGCAAATCGCCGATTGTCACACGCTTTTTGCAGAGTCACATTTCTACGGGAATTGCCTCAAGGCAAGCTTTTTCCCTACGCTGGTGCATATAGATACATATGTATGTATGCACGAGCTTAATGCCACTTTTACCCTTGTCGACCACACCCACACATTTATCTACTTGCCGCTTGGCAAATCCCCAAAAACGCTCAAGCAATCAAACATTTGCACTTACCGATTCAGTTTTGATGTTGAGCGCCACATGTGGCAGCAATGCGTTCGCCTCAGCTGTTGGTGAAGGTGTACGCTCCAGTGGCACCGCTGCTACCGGTGATGTTGCGCTCGCTGTCATAGTCGACGCCGTTGTTGCCTGCGCTGCCGTCAAGCCACTAACTGTTGCCGCAATGCCGTTAGCAACTGCTGAGCCGCAACTGCCGTTGCTTGCCTCCAGACCGCTAGGTGTGCCTGGTGCAGCAACCGATGCCGCCGAGGAAAGCGGTGGCGATGTTGGTGAAATGACGCCACGCACTGACGACGCGACCGCCGATGTGGAGTACGGCGACCCCGCTATGCTGCAAGGCGATTTGTTGGCATTCGAATTGGGCGCCACAGCCGCCGTCGTCGACGATGAAGCGGTCGAGGATGTGGACGATGTGGACGAAGTCATCGATGAGTTGGAAGAGGAGGACGATGACGACGACGAGGAGGACGAACGGCCTGCCGCCGCTGTAGTCGGCGCTGTAGTACTACCGATGCGTGCACACGCCACTAGCGACGTTGTTGTGCGTTGTTGCTGTGGGTGTTGTAGCGCAGGTGTTGTCGGCCGACAGCCGTTCGGTGAGATGGCCAATATTTGTGTTGGTGTTGTTGTTGTGGTTGTGAGCGGTGGCGGTGTGCCTTCCGGACTGGGCGTTCCTGTGGCGGTGAGACTAACTGTGGCTGAAATGCTGCCGCTCAAATGGTGTACGCTGGAGTCTACAAATGGGCTGGAGTTGGTTGAAGGTTCACGCTTGATGACAATGCCGCCAGCGGCGGTCGAGGTAGTGCCCAATGAGGCGGCTGTTATGGCGGTTTCGCATGGCAAGACAGCGCCGAGCATGGTCGGCGCGTTATCGGCTTTGCGGTTGCTTGGCTGGCTCTCCGTTTCCTCGCAGCCCTCGGCCATGTCAGTGAGGCATTGTGGGGAGACTAAAATGAGAGAGGGAGGACGAGAAGTAAAAAGAAACGTAAGAGTGGTAAGAAAATATGAATAAGGTAAAACTTTAATTTGTAATTAATATGGCAGAGAGCATATCTAGCGCCCTGAGATATGCAATACTTTACTAATAGCACTGGATTATTTTGGTAAAGGCGTAAAACGTGATATGTCAATAATTTAGTCTCTCTAGCCGTTGCATATTTAGAAATTAGGTAATCTTTTGGCATACTGAACACATTTTTCATTTTGCCAGGACACCACTGGCTTTTGTACTCTCCATCAATTTTTTGGCAAGATTTAATTTTTGCAGAATGTTTGAAATATAACTCAGGGCCTATTCAAAATATTAGTTACATTGCCTTTTCCCACTATCGATTAAAGTAATCAAATTGTAACGCTTCTATACCTAAACGTATGCAACAAATTTCGCAAAGAACTTACTGCATCTGCATACTTTAAGAGCACATTATTTGCCACCACAACCTAGTCATACATACATTCACATATGTATTTAACACACATTTGCATTAAACGCAAGCCCACAGCGGCGCTCCTTGCACGAATGAGCACACCCAAATTGAACCTGATTTGCACATTATTTGCCCCTAAAAGCCTGCAAACACTTACAAATACATACGTCCATACCTACGCATACACATATAGATAAATTAATGTGTGCATGCCATAGTCTCATTACGAAGTCTTCGCCTTACTTACACTTACCTCAGCAAAGACTCGCCCGCCCAGCCGCGCGCGCACCGAGCTTAGTCCGATAAATGCAGAATGCAAATACATATATTTTGCAAACTTTGCCACCTTCGCACAAAAAGTTTCAAATGTTAACTGTACATACTTTATATACACACGTATGTACATATGTATGTATGAATGTATGAATGGGCGTCTGTGTGATTTGCATGAGTGCATTTGTCCGCACTGCTACACTGAGAAAAAGGATTAGTTTCGACAACTAAAGATATTTAGTTCCCGAATTTTGACAATATTTGGGAACTGTTACCAAGGATTGGGAACTATTACCATCGATTGGTAATTATAACTAAATATATTAAAGCTTCTAATATTCATCTAGGTTGTAACAAATCGTTAATTTAGTTGAAGGGTTTGGTTAATACTAATAAATATTTCTTTGAAGCATATTTCTACAAATTCCATTCAACTTAACGTATGGTTCATAAAAGGATGTTATTAAGCTCTGCTAATGCAGATAAGCTTTCTTTCAACACGTGGTTTAGTCATAGTTACCAAATCTTAGTTGAGGCAACCACGATTTGGTTTGAGAGTGGAACATATTCATGCTTGTGAGCCACCCCTAAATAATGCTGAGCGCTCTCTGAGCACATACGAAGAGCGCCAGCTGAGCAATGCACACAGTCCCACTTATTGAATCGTTTGAATGTGCTAGTATGCCGACCATTGCATTGTGCGTGGAAATCATTGCTCCGCTACCGCTGTTCGTATATGGGTGAAACACGCATGTGGTCCCAGAGCGCTCAGTAAGCTATGGCATGTCGATCGCTGCGCCATGTGTGCTATGACATGCCCATACTTGTTTGCCTCAGTTTCAGTTTTGCTATCATCGCGAGTTGTTTCGGTGCGCGCATAGTTTAAAGTTTAATTAAAAATATAAAGTTTGATGCCAACCGGGGTTTTTCAGTGGATATATAATTCACGTGAATTATAATTTGAAAGTGTCTATTTAGCTAAGGAAAAAGCAAAGCAGTATACTTCCAGCAGATATTGACCTGGGTTTTCGTACGACTGTTCCTGTTTCATCGTTTTTTTTTGGAAATTCATACCAACATATACATATGTATTATTTACTTTAGTAACTAACTTATTTAAATATGTACGTATTTTTATGCTTAATATATGCAAATAAAAGAAGAAAGTAAACACAACAAACATCGAGTAAATTTTTATTTGTGTCAAACTGAAACTTTTTTCCTAATAATAAACGGTTAGCTGATTCAAGTCTACAGCAAGTTCACAAAATCAATTGGAAACTTGTATCAACCAAAGCATTGTTTATATTTGCTCAACAATGATTTTATTCAACTACAATATTGTCCAATCAAGGTAGTCGTTTTGTAATTATTAACAAATATACATTTGTCCCAACTAGAAGTCTTAAGTAAATTGCAGACTTTCGTGAACTATATATTTATTTCGCCATATCCAACTATGCCACTTGATCACTATAACCAAATCTTGGTTATTATAACTAAACCTTTTTCTGGGTGTACATGAAATTTCGCCTCCAACAATCGCTTGCCCGCTCTGCTTGTTACTGTGGCATTCAGCCCTCTAGAACCTCTTTTTCGCTCATTTCGGCCTCCTCCCACTCTATGCACTCAACCCAAAGCTGTCTTACTTAATGCTCACATATTTTAGAATTTACATTTTATGCAAACATTATCGAATATTTTGTGCACTTAAACTCACACTCAGGCATTAATTTCATTAATTATCATTTGTGAGTTAGGGGGAGGGGTTCAAGTTGAAAGGAAGTGAGGCAACAACGAATACATACTACATTTATTGAGAAGTCGAGTATATGCATTTACACACATATGTAAATACATAGATACTTATAGATGTTACACACACCAGCAATGCGAGTCGCAACCGAAATGCATTCCGAAAGCATTCGAATGTCCACAGCGAACGCTAAGAAGGTGAACGCAGTCAAGGGAAATAGAAAATGCAAATGAAGAAACGGCAAAGTTAAGGAAGATAAGAAAAAGTCTGTAGGGAAAACTGGGATGAAGTGTAAAAATCGATAGCCAAAAATGGACGAGAAAGAGAAGAAGAGTAAAGGAATGAATGCGGAAAAAAAGAAAGCAACGGTCAGAGGTAAAAAAAAATTAAATCATATACACAGGGAATGGATAAGATACCCGAACACCAAAATGACGACCAATTCAGCGATACGATTAGCTCGGTGGAGACTAGTGATACAGAAAAAGGTCGCCGTGGATTGGCTGCTTAGGGCGGGATAAAGCTCCCAAACTATTTAATACAAAATTAAACAACTTAAAATCGAAACTAAAAGTTAAGCCTTCTTTAATTTAGCCAAAAAATTCCTCACAACAATATTAAATTGTATGTTTATAAAGCTCTGTAATCACATGCTTTATTTCTTTCCTCGAATATTTTCCAGACACACTTCCAAATATGTAGCTTGGCAACACTGCTTACAACAATAAACAATCACTGCATTTGCATTGTTGTAGAGAGTGATAAGAGTTTTGTTGTCTACATATTTATTTGCGTTTGTTGTTGTTGGTGAATAATTGAGAGTGGTCAGTTGAACAGCTGTTCGAAAAGGCTTTCACACCTACGCACACAAAAATACTACCCACTGTAAACGACTACATAGGTATGTATGTACATACAAGCTTGTAAATGCGCATGTGGCAGTTGTTGGAAATGAGTTCAAGTGGAGCAAATGCAATAAAAAAATTACAAAAAACAATGCAGTGAAACAACATAGAGACTGTTAACGCTTAATAGCGTTCGCGAGTTTTAATAAACGTTTAAAAGCGGATTCCTTTCGATAAGAAAAAACCAAACACGTTCGATTATGTCAAATCCATTTATTTGAGAGAGCGAAAAAAGGAAGTTGGCTTTGACAGCGAGGATGTCAGAGTTGCCAGGAGTAGTTTATACTAAACAAGTACAAGAGATGCCAGATAGGCGCGAACATGCCGGCCGCCTTGAACGACTGTTCAAATTATTACAATTTCAATTCAAGTGGTTTCAATACATAAAATTATATGGAAAAAATGTCGGTCTTTGTTGGTAGCAACGATAGCTTAGCGACAGGTCTCAATAGTTCCCCTTCGGATGTTTTTAAATTTACGACTCGAACTCGATCATCTGAGCCCGGATGGATGCCAAGTACGCGGCCAAGTTTCCATTTAGTGGGAGGCGCGTTACCGTCACGTATAACTACTACGTCGTCTTTCTGCAAATTCGCTGTTGAGCGTAACCACTTTGAGCGTTGTTGAAGTCTGACAAGGTATTCGTCCCGCCATCGTTTCCAGAAATGCTGCCGGATTGATGCGATTAATTGCCAACGTTGAAAAATAGTGCCTTTAAAGACTTCAACGTCAGGGTCGGGAAGCGCCTTTAGTGGTTCGCCGACTATGAAGTGCCCTGGTGTGAGGACCTCCAAGTCGTTTACTTCGGTAGGGATGCAGCAGATAGGACGCGAATTTACGCAGGCTTCGACCTCAGTTAATACTGTTGCAAACTCTTCGTAAGTTAAATGCGAAGGGCCCAGTGCTCGTTTGAGATGGTACTTAACGCGTTTTATACCAGCCTCCCAAAAGCCACCCATGTGTGGGGCGCTCGGGGGGTTGAAATGCCAGGTAGTTTGAGCGTCGGCAAAATATGTTGACACCTTGTCGTCATTGATGCAGCGTTCGTATGCGATCCGCAGCTCCTTCTCTGCACCCACGAAGTTAGTGCCGTTGTCGGAGTAAATGTGCTGACAGTAGCCTCTTCTGTTGGTAAAACGTTTAAAGGCGGCAATAAAGGTGATTGAAGAGAGGTCCCCAGCCAGCTCGAGATGCATTGCGCCAGTACTCATACATATAAATGAGCAGATGTACGCCTTCGTGGATTTAGCACCTCTTCCATGCGTGAATTTCAAGGCATAAGGACCAGCAAAATCGACCGCACTATGTAGGAAGCAACGCGTAGCGGTGACGCGGCTTGCGGGTAAGTCAGCCATGAGTTGCTGTATTGGCTTGCAGCTCAGTCGTCTGCAACGCGTGCAATGGCGATATACTCCACGAACAAGGTTTCGAATACCGGGTACCCAAAACCGCCGTTGAAGTACGGCCTGCATTATCTGCGGTCCACCGTGCAATGTTGTGATGTGTATCTCAGCAGCGATTACCTTAGCAAGCGGCGATTTCTTCGGCAATATTATAGGATGCTTGACATCGTCTGAAATCACGGC